GAGGGAGAGGGAGGGAGGGAGGGAGAGGGAGAGGGAGAGGGAGAGAGGGAGAGGGAGAGAGGGAGACATGATGGAAGGAGCCCCAGGGAAAGACAGCACACGCACGATCCGAGTAGAAGCCGGAGTATGCATTGACCGCATGCTCGGCATGTGTAAGGAAGAAGTTCTTCGACGTCGACACTCCGGTACCCTGACCACCGCCCAGCCACTGGCGCGTGTCCAACACCGGCAATGAGTCCAGCCAGGAGGCATATTGCGAGGAAAGGAAGAACATATCTGACGGGGTAACCACCGAGGGACTGAGTGGGGTCAAAGCACCGCCAGTGCCCGGGCGCCGCATGCCCGCGGGCCCGACTGCCGGGCCGGTTGTCTGCACCGAGAGATTCGGCCGGCGACCGGCGCCGGTCGGGCCCGAGGTCTGCTGGAGGTGTCCCGCTGCCGCAGATTGCTGCTGCTGAGCCTGGTGGTGGTACTGCTGCACCTGCTGGTAATGGCCGAGGGACTGGCCTCGGCCGGCGGCCCGATCACGCGCCGCCCGCAGCAGCAGGGCCTGATCCACCTCATTGCGCAGGGCCTCTCCGAGGGCCTGGCGCTGGTCATTCTGCGCCTGCAAGGCCGCAAGCAGACCGACCCCGAAAAGCGGCCCCACCTGCTGACACACAAAGTCCGCATCCAGGCGCCGCGCCTCCCGGCCGGGGTTGGCATCTACCACATGCAACACACTGGCCATGGTGGTTGTCTGGTCCAGATGGTCAAGCACCTCGGCCGGCGGCGAAAGCAGCCCCTCCACCACGATGGTGGCCGACAGGCCGAGGATGCCGAACAGCTGCACCGTGCGCGGGCTCAGGCTCCCATAGGGGGACGTGAATTCCGGGGCCAGGGTCGACACGGCCGGGTGCCCGCCATTTGGATCGGCCGCCGACAGCGGATACGGATGGAACAGCGCCCTCAGGGAGAAGTTACTGGCCACACAGTGGGCCACGCGCGGCTGCCACGCCAGCCCATGCTCCCCGCTGAGGCTCACCAGCAGGGAAGTGGTGTAGGCAGCGCCATTGCCCGGGGAGCCGGGGCTCCCCCCGGTGGCCGGCGCCAACAGGGCCCCATTGCTCGGGTCCAAGATCCCACTGGCCCACAGCCCATTGGCGCGGGAGAGGACCAGCGATCGGATGCAGGCCGACAGGAAGGACAGCAACAGGGTCCGGCGAGATTCCGCCTGGAGAAGCTGCCCGGTCAGCTGCGTGCGCAGGTCATTCCCGCCCTTGGGCGAAGACCCCAGGGAGTCGGGCGACGAGGGGGCCGTGTCCTCGCCGGCCGAGGTCCCAAGCAGGAAGGCCACAATGTCGCTGCTGAGGGTGGCCAGCCCCACCGAGGGGTCCTGGGCGCTGCTGTCGTACGGCGCCGGGACCGGCGACAGACGAATGGAACAGCTGTCGTCTTGGTCGATCTGCAGGGCACCACAGCCAGGCGCATGGGGGACAGGCCATGTATGCGGAGGGAAAATGCGAGCAGCGTCAGAAGAAGATGGAGGGGGGGGGGGGGGGGGCAGGACAGCCGCGGCGAGACATGAATGCCACATGGGCGTACCGTGAAGCAAGTCAACTCCAGTGACCGGAGGATCCGAACGAGGCGTACCAGGCCCTGGATTTGGGCCTCATTGAAGCCCAGGAACTCCAGCAGGAAGGACCGCTGGAAAACCGGGTCCAAGAAACGCTCGGTCAGAATGGTGCCGCCGTAGGTGACAACCTGCTCCGGGGAGGGGGCCGTCTGGTCGGGGCCGGTGCCGGTGCCGGTGCCGGCCGGGAGCACCGGCGAGAAGGCCCCCGGCACCTGAAGCACACCAATGTGCAGAGCCACCAGATCACCACCGAGCTCCGGCTGCGTGTACAGGGCCCGGATGAAGTACCCGGAGTTGAGGCCCAGCACATCCAGCAGCGAGGAGACCATGGGGGCCTCGGCGCGCGGCCGGGCGGGCAGATCCTCCAGCCCGGCGCCCTTGAGGAAATTCTGGATCATGTCCGGCGAGATGGAGTGGAAGGAGGCCGACGTGCGCCGGGGGGCCAGCAGCGAGTGAATGGCGCTGTACTTCAGCCGGCTGGCTGGGCCTTGGCCGGAGATGATGAGCGTCGATGACCGAGCTGACCGGCCAGGCGGCGAGGGGCCCAGGATGGAGAAGTGGGGAATGGAGCTTCAGCATGCCCGGAGGGAAGAGTTGAGATGGAGACAGAGAGAGAGAGAGGGGGGGGGGAGAAGGAGGTCAGTGGGGGGAGGATAAAGATAAAGAGGGCCGGGGGAGGGCAAAAGGCAAACAGGCCCCGCACAGAGGCCGCGGCGGGCTCTGGCGGGAAGGAGGGATGGACAGCTGGTCGCTGGCATACCTGAAGGGCGCCGGGACAAAGAGATCGAGGAAGACGGTGATGCCCTGAGAGTCCGGGGCGTCGAGCTGCCCGGTGGCGGCTGATGGCACGGCGCTCGGGTTGTAGATGCTCGTGCCGACGACCCCGGCTGTGGTGTAGTTGTCCAACACCGCACGAGACACCGCGTCACAAGCCTTGGCACAGGCTCCCGTGGCCGGAGCCCCGGGGCGATGACAGATGTGGCCCCAGGCATCGGTCAGCGCCTGGGCCGAAACGGCTGACAGCCCAGCCAAGCTGGCTCCGGTTGCCAGGCTCCGATCTGGCGATAGGGGGACCAGTCCGGTTGCGGGGAACTCCTGCGAGTAGGCGTCCAGGAAGGACTGTGTGGCCCGGTGACAGGGGGGGTGGGAGTGGGGGGGGGGGCAGAGCAACGGAGGTGGGCGGAGGGAGGCATAGGCGAGAATGGGGACAAGGCGGAAGTCAGTTAGAGGATGAGGAGGCGAAAAGGCACAGAGGAGGGGGGGGGGGTGTTCACACGGAATGAGGAACTCCCACGAGGGGAGGGAAAGGATGTACATCGAAATCCTCGCTCTCTGACGGCCCGGCCGCGAGGCCCGGGTGCCGCTGGGCGAGGGTGTGCATCGCCGCCATCGGAGGAGAGCCTCGAGGACAGGAGCTTGGGAAGGAGAGATCCGGAAGAAGATAAAAGCACCAGGTGGCAAGGGGGGGAGAGGGGGATTGGGAGGGAAGGGCGAGGCAGGGATGGGTGGGCACGAAGGAGAGGCG